AAGAAGCCTCGGTAGTACAAACAATGGTAGCCCAAACCCAAGAAACCTTGGAGCGTTCAACGATCAGTTGCCATCAAAAATCTGCTGACTTGGGAAATGATGATGCAACACACAAGGTTGGATATTGTCATAAAAATGAAACCGGTCTTGAAAAGGATGAAGCATTTGGACAACATTCAACTGATGCCGAAGGTAACAATTCGAGAGGCAAAGAAGGTCTTGAATATCGTAATGTTGAGACGAAGATTAAGGACAATGAAATGTATAAGCATGGCTGTTATAGTAAGGATGGAAGTTGGGTAAACGTTAATATGGCGAATCAAAAGGTTGAACATAAAACCTACAATTATGTTAGCGAGGTTATTAATGATACTAAAGCTGCCAGTAATGATGAAGGCAAAGCATTTGAGCATTATTCGAGTCCAGTCGACGCAGATAAAGCCGATAATATTAGTCTTGTGAAGAGCAAGGTTCAAACGTCGGCTGTACGTGATCAAAACTTGTCAAAGCATTATTCAAATCCTGATGAAGATGATGACTCGAAACTTGTTGAAGCCCAAAGTTCTGACGATCATATGGACCTTGAGGATTGCATCCAGGATGGAACCGGTGATATGAAGCCTGCTGGAAACGTTGGTCTTGAACGTTGTAATAAAAACGGAATTGGGGTGGAAAAGAACAAATATGAAGAGGTTAAAGGAAGTGTGAGAAACGACGAGAGAGAAAAATCGATAACAGAAGATAGGTTCGATGGTGATGAAAGTTCGGAAAGATATTTTGAAAAAATGGTTCGACAAATTGGAGACAACATGGAAAAAGGCGTTGAGAGTAAGGAACAAAGTAGTATCGTTGAGGAGTGCGAAATGGATGAAGATGGAAAAAAGAATGAAAGTAACGAAATAAATAAGGTAGTTAGTACAGGCAGTGATGAACCTTCACAAACAAGCAAAAAAGGAAAAGAAAACTTACCCTTGTCAAGTAGCCAACCAGCCAGAAAGATTGAATGCACAAGTGAAATGCCCAACTATGTGATTATTAGAGACGAACATGAACCGTCTAATGAAAATGAATTATATACAAATCGGTTCATCAATGGTAATGCAGGGGAACAATGTAATCCTGGATGGTGCTACCAAAATGGCAAAAATTCGGATAAAAATAGCAAAAGGATGCTTGAATGGAGATGGAAAGCTAGAGAAGGTCGAGATTGTGATGGAAAAATAGTGACCCGGATGACTAATCCGATTAAAAGAAACTATCTCCGGAATGAAGTGAAATGTATCCCTATCACTTGGGCCGTGGAGAAATTTGGCCAGTATTTACATAGGCCCCGACTCACCAAGTTAATCAACTGTTGTGTTCCGACGTTATTGAATTCGTCACGATGTGTGTTTGATCCGGGAGGAGAGCCTAAATGAGCAATGAATAAATAAATGAAATGAATTAATGAACGCGAAGGAAAAAAAAAAAAAAAAAAAAACGGTACATGGTCCCTGGCTTAACGCATTACTATCTCGGTGCTGGAACGAATGCTGGAATCGGACTTTGATGAAATGATAAGTGAGGCAAGAAGGTTGAGGGAGGAGAAAATCCGAAGGTTGTTGAGGGGTTCGACGGAGCTCACCCTTTGAGAGGAGGAATATGTTACGAAAAATTTTGACAAATTTTTCGTACTTTGCATTTTTGCTATATAATTTCTTTGTCTTCCTATGTAAAGGTAGTAAAGCATGTAGTCATGGTAGTAATAGCACGTGTACGGGTCTGAAACACGGGGTTAGGGTTTGAAACCCGGGATCTGGGTTCGAAACCCCAGATCCGGGTTCGAAACCCCAGATCCGGGTTTGAAACCCTTGAACATCGAAATGTATAAATAGGGCGCTTGACTAGTAAATAAAGTAACTCTTCCGACTCCCCAAATTCTTTCTTGCTTGGCTTCAATAATAAATAAAGTGGATACCTTACCTAACTCTTTCTTATTTTTTTTGACCCAATAATAAATATATAATAAGCTCTGACCTTGCTTAATAAGTGAAACGTGGTAACCAACTTGAACCTATACGTAACCTGTGGAAACCTAACTTGGACCTAAACGTAACCTGCGGTAACCTAACTTGGACCTATACGTAACCCGTGGTGACCTAACTTGGATCCTACGTAACCTAATTGCAACCTATAACGACCCGACTTGGACCCTAAGTGACCTAAGCCTAACCCATGACGACTTTTTTCGGATATAGTCTTATTGAAGCGGCAGTACCTACCCCAATCAATAATTATTACCACATATGGATCCTGACTATGCAACTTCCATCAGGATTTATGCTTACGGCGCTGGACTAAATTGGCCTGGATATATAAAAGCTCTCCCTAGTCGTAACATTTTGGTGCCGATTGTGTGGACTGAACAAAGAGGACTGAACGAAGAGGAGCAAACAAAGAGGAGCAAAAGCCGAAGATCGTCTTGTGTTGAAAATAATAATAATAATTGATTTCTTTATGCTTATGACCCTGAGTTTAAATTGTGACGATAAATAACAAGTCCGAACGAACGTTGATAGTATTGTACGAACGAACGTTGATAATATTGTTTGGACGAGCGTTGATAATCTTTGTGAGCAAGCATTGATAAGTATTGTGTGTATAACGTGGATAATACTGTGTGGACGAACATTGATAGAATTGTACGGCGAACGTTGAATGAAGATAAAACGTTTCAGTAATAAGTGTGAATGAACGTCGCAACAGTAAGTAGACAATCGTGTATACAACAATAGTGTGAACGAGTGTAGATACAAGAGTTGAAACAAACGTCGGTATAATAGTATAAACGAGCGTTAGTACTATAGTATAGGCGTATATTCAAAAAAAAAAAAAAAATGTGGAAAAACAACCTTCTTCAAAATGAAATTCCGTTGAATAGCCCGAATCACCAACTCCAACAGTTGCTCCAAACCATGGTAGATGCGTTGACGCAATCCAAGAAACCTCAAGCAAACCTTGGCGAAATAGATTTGGTAAAGATCCCAATATTTAGCAAAGGAAAACAAGACCCCATAGAATGGTTGGAGTCAATAAAACGAGCATTTCAAGCAAACAATATCGTAGGAACAAGGCGGCTCGTAGTTGCGGCTGGTCACCTAATCGGTCCTGCTGTGCTGTGGTGGGAACGAAGAAAAAGTTGGATACTATACTGGAATGATGAGGCAATGCAAGACCGAAGTTTCATACACAAATTTTGGCAAACTTTCTGCACAACAGCTCTAATAAACCAGTGGACCGCAAAATTATTAGCCCGACGACAACAAGTAGGCGAGACAGTGGAACAGTACGCTGTCGATGTGGTGTCCTTGTTTACACGTGTATCAGCCGTAGGAATCCAGTACTCAGAAGTAACGAAGGTTCAAATGTTTGTGCAAGGCCTCCATCCCGAATTATCATTAGCCGTTGGAACCTTTTTGCTGAATACGCTTGAAGAAGCTGTTGAAAAAGCCCGAGCTTGTGAAATGTCTTTTGCCCGAAAGAATGTTATATATAGTCCTGCTGCGATACATGATTCAATAATACATTCTACAACCTCGATGTCGCCCCGAACGATGTATCCCGTGACTCAGCCTATGCATCCCGTAGCCCAGCAAACCGTACCGGCCCAGCCCCCGAATAATTCGATGGAGCAAGTTTTGGCTCTACTACGAGATGTAGTGACAATGATGGGTAATAATAATGATAACAATAGCCATCCCCATCCCCCGTTAAACGAAGCATGGTGTGAGAAGACAAACCAACCATCCGTGTGCCTCGTCGATCAACAAGTAGGATACATTGCCCAAAAGTGTCCAAACAATAATCGTGTAAATGATAATGGAAACAGTCCTCCAACTCAAAACCAAGGTAATGTCACCGTCAATGGTTTCGTCTGACGAAACTTGATGATATGACGTAACTACTGACGATTGACATAATTACTGACGATTGACG